CTCTGCAGATAACTGGAAGAACTCTCCTTGGAGAAGAGCATTATCATCGGCCTCCAGAAGTCTGTTATAATCAGCGCCTGCTCACTAGTCAGGAGATTCATGGGAGGATATATTGGGTTTTGAAAGCTCATTCTTGAAATTGTATTTGTTATTAGGATTTGAAAACTATTATTCTATGTTTACAATGTGAAAACAGTTATTTTATGTTTATGTGTTAGAATGTCTTAATTTGTTTTGTAGATTTTAAATATGTCTGTGTTACCATGCTCTGATCTGTGTGGTATCCATGTGAAACCAAAAACGTTGAGAATAAACAAAATAATAAACAAAATAATAATAATAATAATAATAATAATAATAATAATAATAATAATAATAATAATAATAGGTTTTGAGATGCAAAATTGAATCTTTTGCTTTCAAACCTTAAAATGATGATTGTAACTCTAATGGAAAAAATTAAGTGACCTTCAGCAACAGTTCCAGTCCATAATTCAGGGGAGTTTTGTCATAATTTGCATAGTTTTGGTAAACTATTTGTAACTTAGATCTTCAGAGATAAATGTAAGAGTAAAAAGAACAAATTATGATAATTTCATTATTTTTATGAAGTTTTGCGTAGTACATATTTTCTGCGTTGTTAATGCAATTGTTCCTGTTTTCAATCTCATAATTGCATACATATTTTATATTTTTTGATGCATAACTATCCGAGCCCTAATAATTATGCATAACAACGTATAATTATTAAAGTAGTCCTATGGACATTACATTACTATGTCCTATGTGTGATACATTACATTGGCCTATGGGCAATACAAAAATTTGAAAAATTCATTGAATATTTGTAATGTTGAAATATTCCAAATCTATAAAGTAAATGAGACTTTTACTAGGTTTTTCTACTGCACTATTCCCAGACTGTGATAGCTCAGTGTCATCTATTTGATGTCTCTGCTGTCTTCGCTGATCGGGAAGTCCAAGACTTCTAAGTCCGACAATGGCGGATGTTCGACTCTAACTGAAAATCTAGGTCGAATTTAGCTTCTATTTGGGCTAGAATTTCAGCTGTTGGTTGTTCTTATGAGTAGTTTTCCCTGGTTTCTCTGATGAATACATTAACACACCAACCACTGACGGCGGGCGATCGTTCGTTGCTCATTCTTGCTCTTCCCCTTACTTGAATACACACACACAAACTTACACGCACAACTCTACCATACATGACAGGAGACCAGTCAGGGGCTTAGATGTGGTCCCGGCTGGGGGCGTTGCTACGGTGGGGGAGATTCCTGGATGGGGACTACCTAGAAGTCGAAATGTAGGTAATTGTGACCGAAAACAAGTTAAACCTTCCTCTCAAAACACTTGTGAATTTGTTCAGATTTTTTCAACTGCTATGCCATTATTATGAAACAAAGGCATTCGTAGTCACGTACGGGACATTAATATATATTTAACAATCTTAGCCGATTAGACATGGGATACCGCAATTTTCGATATTCTGCCATTTCCTGTTCTTTCTTTATGTAAACGATATGTCCCCGTCTATAGGACACCGAAGAACAGTTCACTTCACAAATTATATTCTTTGCAAACAACAGTAAGCAGTGCGTTTGCAGATGTTTCTAACTGGTTGTGTAATAACAAGTTAATAGTAAATAAAGCGAAATAGTTTTGAAGTTTTACATTTCAAATAGGTAATGGCATGCACCAATAAAAATGAACGATATGCAATTGAACGCGGGGGTGCCGGTCTTACGACCCTTCACCCGCACCTCACCCCTCTTCCCGCCCCTATCCGCTGCCGACCGGCTCTGTTCTTAAACAAGACACTCTCTCAAAAATCCGCAGAACTTTGATTTCGGCCCGCAAGCTGCAAGGTATGTACGACCCAGTTTGCTCTGGCATTGCATTTGGCATGCAATGTCTACATCCTGTATATAATATTTGTATTAACTTATCTCTAATTGTTCATTACTATAATTTATTTCGAATTTTAGCTCTGAGGATGATCGCTACGATATCGAAACGATCATCAGTCAAATGAATTGTTGATATCAGACAACATCTTTTATTTATCATTCTTAAATAATATAAGCTATCGACATCACCAGCGATCTAATTAAAGAAGAATACCTTGTTGACTAAGTGAAAAATTGTGCAGAATAATTAACATCAAATGAATGAGTGGGGGGCTAGTCAATAAAAAGATTTAAAATGGGGCTTAGGTTCATTCAGGTTAAAAAAAATTAGTAATTTTGAAAAGTTTTAATATTTCCAAGTTCTCCAAAATGTTCATTTTTTGTCTTTGCTGACCAAGTAAAGGATTTTAACATTATAATTAGGGTCAAAGGAATGGTTAAATTTAATCAAATGATTGGTAAAGGTGGAAAAGTCTAAATTTAGACTCCAACACCTAATATGTCCGTTAATTTCAACTGAAAATGTTCTGCAAAAATAGTATAAATCAGCCTGTCTTTATTGATTTTTATAAATTAAATAATTTTTTTAAAAATTTTATGGGCTCTGCTATGTTCGGTAAGCTTGATCTGTACATGATTTATTTCCTTTTGCTTTTTATAAAAATATTTAATATGTTATTTTTTTAATCACAAAATTTTAATATAATTTCGATTTCAATTTTATTATAATGATGGGGACAACCTATCCCTGAAACATGTGACAAATTTGTCAAAAAAAAAAAAAGAATTATGTTATACAATGCACTGTCTGTCTATAAAATTATTTCGGACTCCTCACATTCAAAATGAAAATTTTCTGCCTGTTTGGCCTGCACAGGCAGATTCACTGTTATCACAAGGTGATAAATTCCACTTCTTTCAAGTGGGGGGATAGGTGATTTAGAACTAGGGAATAAAGAATGGAGGCTGTTTAAAGATTTGTAAGCTACTGAAATATTGTGTTTTGTGAAGCATTTACCTATACGTTTAGATACTAGGCCTAAGTAGCAGATGCAAATAAATTTTGTAGGTTCTACAGGGAAATGTTAAGAAAAAACTTTATACAAAATCATTTTTACTCCTTTTCAGCAGATATGTTTATTGATGCACAGAGGATCGTAACTAGTAATTAACACAATGGTTAGAATGGTATTGACTTCTCTATTAAAATCTAAATTTGACATACGAACCGGGAATAATCTGTTGATCCAGGAGTGAAAGGCAGTGAATTTATGATGGTGAATATGATTGGAATGAGAAGGGATGATTAAATTGCATGAGTAGGTTTTCTGAATATTTTAAAGAAGTGTTTTGAGATTTTAATAGTAATGATTAAATCAAGGAAATTCAAGGAATGGTCATGTTCAATTTCCATAGAGAATTTTAATTTGGGGTCAAATGAATTATAAAAATCTAAAACTAGCTCAATTGCCTAGAAGTTCCTGACCAAAGACATAATATTATAATGTCATCAACATACTTGAATAATAAACAATGTTCTTGAGGAGAGGGTTCAATCTAATAAATATGTTTTTCTCAAAATAATTCATGAACAGTTCAATGCAAAGAGGGGAAACAGGGCCCATAGCTAATCCTTCAGCTTGTAAATAGAAGTCATTGATAAAAGTGAAAAAAATATGTGTTTTACATACTTTAAGTTGGACTAGTTTCATTCTTACACTGATCTATAGCTGGAAGAATAACAAAGAAAATGTAATATCTCAACTTTTTTTACAAAAAATTTTGACATTTCCCTTTGAAAATCACAGATTCAATTATAGTACATCCACTTCATTCATCCACTACTACAGTATGAATGAAAATAAAATCAATACCCCATTGTACAATAAGCACAGATTGTAACTATGTTTTGATGATAAATAAAAATCAGGAGAGCCTTTGCAACAAACCTGTGGAAGGGATTTGCTTATTAATCTTACAATTATTTTTGGAAAAGGAATCATTACTTTGGAAGTCACTCTTATTAACTCTTGTGAAGTGAAAAAAATAACTGTTTATTTCCTTTCACTATCCCCCTTGTTTTCAAAAACTCCATTTCAACACGTTTTGGAATACCCATTTGTTGTGTTTTGAATAATGAACCTAAGGTAACATTCACTACTGGTGCAAATTTTCAACTATATCACAGATCACCTTGATTAGAATAATAATCAAACTTTTGATTATATCCATACAAGTTCTGTGCAATTTTATGTGTATTTATTCTAATTTTTCATCATGAATACATTTCATAAACAATAGCTTATCTTTTCTGTATGGTACTCTAAAATCTAACTATTTGTCAATCACTAACACTAAATGACAATGTTTATTTACATTCAACATATATAATTTTTGAAAAAATTATATACCATATCGATGTGCTATATCACTTGCCCTTTCTCCCCATATTCCATTGACAGCAATTAGAACTGTATCACCAGGTTCAATTAGATTACACATTGCAGCTTCCATCCCTCCATGTCCTGAGGAACTTATGGCCAATGTCACCGGGTTCTTTGTTTGGAAAACAAACTGAAGACCTTCTTTAATTTCATCCATTACCTACACAATCAGAAGAAGAAATAAATATTTTATTTTATTCAAATGAATTTTGAAGATAATATAATCACAAAATCCTGAACAGCTTTGTTGATTTTTTTTATAGTGGTTAATGTTATATTGCGTTCATTTAGATAAACCAGTGCTGATAGAGGGTTTGTGATGTGAATTGTCATTTGTTGACTCAATGTTCTATGTGAATCTTGTGTGTTTCCGATTGAATGTCACTGGTAAAAAAAAAAAAAAAAAAAAAAAACGAAAAAAATAAAAAAAAAAAAAAAAAAAAAAAAA